AGAGAGCGAAAAATTACCTTTTCCCCGGAACTCCTCTGTTGAACCCTTTCCTACCACCGCCACCACTTAGGTATAGGCGCTCCCACTCCGTCTTCTAAGCATGACTACCACTTCGTATCGTGGTTATATTCAGCCGAGAGAACGGTGGTAGTAAGCAGCATAGTGGGTGGAAGTTCCACCTAACACATGGATTTCTGGTAGCCATTTCTCCCCATACTGGGTACTGCCACCACTCCTATGATGTTTACTTCCACCCCTCCCACTGCTGAACATAAGCAACCACTCCCATGTTTACTAACTACCACCACTACCTATCTTTAATCGTTATCACCACCAATTCTTCAGGTTAGTACCATTAATGCCACCGTTTGGCAGTGCCAATACTGACCCCGATACATCTAGGTGCCCTAGTTCCTTCCCTCCATCTTCGGTAAACACCATTTAACCTAATTACTTCTTGGGTCCTTTCTCTTTCATGGCTGTCATTGCTTCTCATTTCCCTTGTATACTTCTTACACTCTCTGGTTAGAATATTCGCAGGTATCGTCTGCTATCAGCTGTGTTTTCTCCTTCTTTAGAGTAAAACTTTAGTCGTTGACCGCGAGTCTTCATGATTGTGCGATAGACTTGGTTTTTAAACAGTTTCTCTGTTGCTTCCCTATTCACTTCTTAATTAAGCCCGCTAAATACTTTCAATGCTTTTCTGTGCCTGTTCTTTGTTTCCTTTGTGTTGTGGAACAATGAGCGTGTCCTCCTCCTATCTTGCTCTTCGTGGCTTTAAAGTACCAATCTGTGGACTTCTAGCCCAGCATCCCACTTCACTTATCCAGGAGAGTCTCTAAGGCCTTTCGAAGTTCTCTTCAGGAACTCCGGACTACGTCCTGACACCGTCATAGTCTAAAGCCGCTCTTCCATTATCAGTCCAGAGTCGAACTCAGTGATGGCGGTCCTTTTACCTCCTATCGGTTCTTCGCGAATTATTATCTGTTTCCCAAGCCAACGGTTTCCCAAGCCAACGGTTTCCCTAGCCAACGGTTTCCCAAGCCAACGGTTTCCCTAGCCAATGGTTTCCTTAGCCAACGGTTTCCCAAGCCAACGGTTTCCCTAGCCAACGGTTTCCCAAGCCAACGGTTTCCCAAGCCAACGGTTTCCCTAGCCAACGGTTTCCCAAGCCAACGGTTTCCCTAGCCAACGGTTTCCCAAGCCAACGGTTTCCCTAGCCAATGGTTTCCCTAGCCAGTGGCTTGTCACTTCAAAGAAACGACCCAAAACTCACTTCAAAGTGATGTCTTACTGGACGGCGAAGAACCGTATTAAGCACAAGGATACACTGAATAAGCTGGTGTATCCTTGCCTAGTGTTAAGTTACCTCGTTGATGTGGCGATTGGGGAGTCTGCAGTACTGGTGTTCTTTTGAAGCAACAGGTGTGTTAGCTGTTATTTCTTCACTGGTATAGTCGTCATTGGTGTGGTCGTCACTAGTGAGGTCGTTACTGGTGTGGTCGTCACTGGTGAGGTCGTTACTGGTGTGGTCGTCACTGGTGAGGTCGTTACTGGTGTGGTCGTCACTGGTGAGGTCGTTACTGGTGTGGTCGTCACTGGTGTGGTACTTCTTGCAACTCCTTCCATTGCTTGCTATAAACTTCCTGCAACATTGGTTAATGGTGCATCTATCTTCAGTTCTACTTTTTGTTTTGAGGTATTCAATAACTCCCCTTGGTTCTTAATCTATTCTCTAACATCCTCTGCATCCCGAACTTCGTCAATTGCAACAGCCTCTGCTCCTCTTCTCTTTCATTAACATCTGCAATCTGTTTGACCCAATCTCTGGTGCTTTTCCCGTTCCATTCCTTCCGTTTGTTATCAACGACTGATAAGTTCTTTACTCCAGTGCCTTGATTTCCTCTCGTAAATTGTCAGTTCCTTACCTCAAGCTCCTAGTTTGATTTACTTTCCTAGGTAGAACTTCTGCGTTGCCAAGTTCTTTATACTCCTTATTTTAATTCTAATTTTTTTCAAGTAATATTCTCTGTTTCATCTCATTTATTTGTTCGTATTATCCAAGCCATCTTGTTAACAAGGTCCCATATGCCAGCCTTATTCTGTTTGAATGGTCCGGCTCGACCTACTTAGCGCTGATTCCTTGAGATCAATATCTCCCAGTTCTCTGCCCTAGGCACATGTAACTAGTCTGAGCGGTTGAGCCATACGTCTAGAGTCTTGGCAAGAGATTCTCAACTCTTTTTCAACTCTCGACACCCTTAAGAAGCTGCTTTTAGGACACAAAAATTTTGTTGAGTTATTTTTTAAATTAAATATTTTTTTGTGGACACTCCGAGGAACACGTGTGGACCCCGTGGCACACCTGTGAATCTCCGTGGCACACCTGTGGACCCCCGTGGCACACTTGTGGACCCCCGTGGCACACCTGTGGACCACTTGCGACACTGTGGTTGTAAAGCGCTGTTCTTAGATGCTGGACGTACGAGCTGCAGCTCGTTTATTCAGGTACACTTAAGAAGTGTTTATCAACGTCTCTTACGAACACCGTGACTGGTCGGCTAGTTGTGGCTCTTACGTGGATTAGAAAGTGTTCGAATTAATAGTCTTCTCTATTCCTGTCGTCAATTTTATTAGTTATTTATAGTTTATTATTTCTGTTTTCTTATTCCTGATCTTTGCTTCTATTTTCTATTGCAGCTGATACCAGCTGCTATCCTTATCTGGCGTTCTTCACCTGTTTTACCTGCCTTAGAATATTACAGGTGCTGAGCAAGTTGCAACACCTTGCCCTTCACTTCCAGCTTGATTGGCATCTCCTCAAAGAAGCACCTTAGGCTTCACTTTACAACTTGACTTGCATCTCCTAAGCTTAACTTCCAGCTGTGGTTCTGAAACCATTGTGTTCCACGAGAACTTACTCGATAAGATTTTTACTGAGTGTAATGTTTTAGCAAACACTCCAAGTGTCGGTTCATTGACCCCTCCCCCCCCCCCTACCCTCTGGACATGTTGTGTTTAAGGGGGGGGAGGGGTGTTGAGTGGGATGATGAATGATGATAGTGAGTGTGATGGTGAGTGATGAGGGGACGCGTACTCACTCAACTTAACTATTTTGAGACGTGATGGCTTAGCTTTCTCGCATGGTAAGTATGATGGTGAGTGTGGCTGGGACTGTATTTAGATGTGTAGCTAGGAATGTAACTAGGAATGTAGCTAGGAATGTACCTGGGATTGTATTTTCTCCTAATCTCAGCCTAGGAACAATCCTGCCCTCTGCTAGGTAGATTTAAAGTCCATCCACGTCACGTATACTTATAAACCTTATTTATAAGGCTTAAGAGAGAACAAGAGAGGCTCTGGGAGTTTACAAGTGTACAGTAAAGTTTCCTAAGTACAAGAGCGTCCCCATGAAGTAAACTGCTGGAAACATTAATGGTTCAAAGCTGAATTATTCGAACCTAAGCTACATTTCACACACACACACACACACACTCACTCACACACACACACACACACACACACACACACACACACACACACACACACACACACACACACACACACACACACACACACACACACACACATAAAGGCTAGTACAGGCTCAGGAACCTGTATTCTCATGAACCTGTACTGTACAGGTTCCGGAACTGTATTGTACTGAACCTGTATTGAACTGAACCTGTATTGTACAGAACCTGTATTGAACTGAACCTGTATTGAACTGAATCTGTATTGTACTGAACCTGTACTGTATTGCTCAGGAAACTGTACAGGGTGTACAGGCTCGGGAACCTGTACACCAGTTGATTGACATTTGAGAGGCGGGACCAAAGAGCCAGAGCTCAACCCCCGCAAACACAAATAGGTGAGTATAAAGATTTTTGTGTATAAACGAGGCTCCACATGCAGGTAACGACTGAACTCATCTCTGGTCCATTACTGAAAATCTTAGCCTAATGGCGCCGCGTTTTCTATTATGGCTAAATTAATGGAGAAAAATTAGCACAAATGTGTAAAAAATATATATATATTTTTATATATTAATATTTTTGTTTTCATCCCCTCTCTCTCTTTCCTTCTAAACACTTAAAATTTTCTGAAATTGTAGATAAATATATTTTACGATCTCGCTCACTTGTACTAATTTCTTAAACTTGATTTGTCTTTTAAAACAAGCGTAAAAAACATATAAGAAAATCGCAAAAGTGTTTCAGACAAGATATATATTGAGAGGAAAAATCCCTAAATTTTTAAAATAGTGTTATAACGAGAGCTCAGCGTTTATGTAAATTGTGAAGGTGACCCCAAACCCACATTAACCCGACCGTTGGACCCCCAAAATGACCCCAAAAAACCCTTTGTTCTAGGGTTCCCTTCTTGGGTCTAGTGTTCCCTTCTGGCGTCTAGTATTCCCTCCTTGCATCGCCAAGTTTCCTCCTTGTATCTTGAGTATACAGCAAAGATTCTTTAATTATAGCATTACCAAGTTAACAAGTATAACGTCCACTAAGGAATGGGGCAAAACTTAAGTCCAAAGAGGCATCCAGAGGCATAATGGTCAGGTGGTGGAGGAGAGCGAGAGAGTTGAAAGAGGAAGTGGAAAGTGTGAGACAGAGTTGAAAGAGAGATAAAGAGAAGAGAGAGAGAGAGAGTGAGAGAGAAACAGAAGAGGTGGAGAAGGAGGGAGGAGCATTAGGGCTCCTTGGGGAGAGGGGGGGGGGAGTAGGGAATTATCATGAGAAAGTACCAAGCTATTTCGACTATATAGCACTGGGAAGGGGTCAGGATAAGGATTTTGGGATGGGAGTGGGGGAAGGAATGTTGTTCAACCACTTGGATGTTCGGGGATTGAACGCCGACCTGTATGTAGCGAGACCGTCGCTCTACCATCCAGTCCAAGTGGTTGGACATGGGACGGAGGGGAAAAGCAATGGCTCCCAGTCACTTGGACGGTCGGGGATTGAACGCCGACCTGCATGAAGCGAGACTGTTACCTCTGTGTGGTCGGAATGAACGACGGAGAAGCGAGACTCGGCCGCATACACCTGCTCTCCCACCGTCAGGAGCTGGTCGTCGTCTCTCTTCAGCCACGCCACCTGGATCAAGGTGAGGTCATATGGAGGAGAAAGCGATTAGGCAATATTATTATATAGCACTTGGAAGGGATTTAAGAACACATAACGCCATGGTATGGGGACAGGTTCAGGAATATTATGGGAGGAAGGAACGGTGCCTAAAGTACTTGGAACATAAGGGAATCGAACGCCGGCTTGCAAGAAACGAGGCCAACCCTACCCCGTCGAGTCTAAATAAATCAAGTGTATTCCAATTAATTATAAAGGAAATCATCGATGCTCGGTATTAAAAGGCAATAATGAATGGTGAAATCAGTAGGATTTCACCATTCAATGGTGAATGGTGATCAGAAATTTAGTCTTTCTGGTGTCAGTAAGTATTGTGAACTAGCTAGGCCAATATAGGTGTTGTGAGCTAATCAAGAAATACATGGAGTGTTGTAAGCTGGTTAGGTTAGGTTAGGTAAGGTTAGGTTAGGTTAGGTAAGGTTAGGTTAGGTTAGGTTAGGTTAGGTTAGGTTAGGTTAGGTAAGGTTAGGTTAGACAAACATGAAATAAATGAGCTGCCTAGACCAACATAAAGAGCATTGTGAGCTTAGCAAGCCAACATAGGGAGCATTATAAAGTGGTGAGACCAACATTGTAAGCTGATCAGACCAATATCAACACACGAGGAGACGAACTAACCATTTCGTCTGAGAGATGGTAAGTGTAGCAGCTGAAGGAGGCGTCGCCGCCCACCTGAGCCGCGACCTCCGTGTTGTTCTGACCTTGGAACTCCGGCGCCAGGGTGTTGAGGGCCAGAGCCTTGGCCCAGATATCTTCAGCGGCCTCGTACACGTTGCGGGGAGGAAAGTCTGCTGGTTCCGCCAACGCCGCCTCCTTCTGCCCCGTCGTCAGTGTAGTTCCTGTGGCCCAGGGGAGAATACAGTGTCAGATTTGTCCTATTAATGTGACTTATTATTATTTGGACCAAATAACGTACTAGAAGGTGAAGGGACCTTCCTTCGGTCCATCCTGGACCATTCTCAAGTCAATCGACTTGAGAATGGTCCAGGACGGACCGAAATGTCGTCGTCCCTTCACCTTCTAGTGTGTGGTCTGGTCAACATACTTTAGCCATGTTATTGTGATTATTATTATCATTATTAATTAGTATTTATTGTCATTGTTTACCAATTATGTTTATTATAAACGAGCTATCCCACCACATCTGGAAACAAATTGATGACGTTTCCGTTAGTCTTGAACTTCACAAGTCGTGTGAAGAAAGAGTGATTGATTGATTGAAGAAGATTACGCCACCCAAGATGTGGCACGGGCATGAATAGCCCGTAAGTGGTAGATTTTTTTTAACTTAATGTATATTAAGAAAGAGTGATATGTTGTTTGTCGTTTAAGATTTGTTACTTGGAACAAAAAGTTCCAAGTAGCACGGGCTATGGTGAGCTCGTAGAGCAAGTCAGTATATAAGGTAGGAATGTGAGGTGAAAGATCACGGGAGACATCTCCCGTGATCTTTCTCTCCACCTCCTGTGGAGGTGCGACTGCAGGGTGCAGTCGCACCTCCACAGATCTCCAGTATCATCTACTGATACTGGTAATGGTTCATGAGGGCCACCACTTACGGACTATTCATGCCCGTGCCACCTTTTGGGTGGCTTAATCTTCATCAATCAATCGGTGAAAGATGAGAAGGGTGAAGTCAGCCAAAGAGTTAATAGGCATAACGAAACCTGCAGATGACCTAATGGTGAAGAGACAAGAGTTGAAAAAGAGATAAAAGAGAGAGATAGCAACCGAAGAGAAAGAAAACTAAGAGCGCCCAGAAGGGCATCAGGCAGGTTAGATCACGTTTGTTTAAAGGTTAGAGGCATTGACTTATGTACAGTATTGAGAAAGGCAAAAGTCATCAGTAACTAAACTAAAACATGTTCATGTTGCGCGTATGGAGTATGAGAGGTGATTCGCCAAGACGGCGTCTGTGGAGAGTAAAGGCAAGGTATTATTTTAAAAGACGACTAATCTATTGAATACTTAAGAGTCCTCCTATTGGACAGGATAGAGCATTGTTCGTGTCAGCAGATTTAACACTTCTATTTTGTCTTTGCATTCATTAAGAGTACGGCAAGTTCCGCCAAAGTATTGGAAAGAAGAGAAACAGGAGCTGGAATTAACACCACCAACATTGGAAGCAGTACGAGTAGTATGAACCAATTTACTACGAAGCGTGTCAGTTAGCCAAAAGGTTAGTCAAATATCAAGAGAACGAACTGTATCATTGAGATGTTTAAGTTGAAATATAAATGGGAGGCCCGGCACAATGTCTCAAGTGTTGGAAGCAGGTTTAGAATTAAGGAAAAGAATTTTAGCATGAGAATAGGCACAGTTGATCAAATTTAAGGGATAACCAAGATGTAAGAAAGACTTGTAAAGAAGAGAAATTTCACAATACTCAAGGCCCGGAGGCAGGAGGAAAAGAGAACATATATTAATGGTTAAGTGTTACATTCTTAAGCCCGTCCCTTCCCACTTCCCCCTTTCCGTAACCCCTCCCACTTCCCCATTTCCCTAGCCCCCACCTCTCCTTATCTCCTCTCACTCTCCCTAACCCCTGTTTTCACCCAGCATCCCTACCCACACCCTCCCCCCAATCCCGAATCTATCATCTGTAAACACAAGCTTTTGAAGCCCTTCCACCATACTGAGGACCACAGCACCACGAAGCCTGCCCCAGGGGGCTAGAAACCTTGGCTGGTCTCCCCACAGATGACCAGCATTACTGTCCATTACCTCCAGTTAATGGGTTTAATAACAGGACAGAAGGTCTCGTTCCGACCCGCAGCTCAAATAATATATCACACCTCCCCGTCTAATTTTTGGTATCAATTTCCCTTTTTTTTTTTTAATCGACAGAGAAATCTGGGAAATTTTCTAAACTGAGTCTAGGATTTTATCCATTGAAATGAATTTTGTGTTGCTCACAGCACAAAACTAGATTTGCCTTCTCAATGTTCTGTCTGAGTGAAATTCAAATTAATTAAACATCATTTAGTTACATTCTGTATTATCTCTGAGGTCTGTGAGCTATCCGGAAAGGATCCGCAAGCAGCCAACTTTAAATATGTTGTTGTTGTTAAAGAAATATGTCATATGTCCATATGGCCATATGTCGACACAGCTGCGTGCGAGAATCACTATTAAAACCAGATCGATCGTTTAGGGGAGTCAAATGGCTGATCCAACCATCGTTCACCGCTTTTTTGGGGAACATTCACCGTTCCTGGAACATCAAATGATTGCGTCTAATTACAGAGTACTTGCCAGTTACTCGTCATCCATCGTGCTCGGCTGAAAGGTGGCCCAGGTGGTCCGGGCCACCTTCTGCCAGCTACTCAACCCCTCGACACCCACCTACACAACCATTGGACACCCCACCTAGAGATCCACTCAATATCCACCTACACTATCACTCGACACCCACTATACAACCACTCGACACCCACCTACACAACCATTGGACACCCCACCTAGAGATCCACTCAATATCCACCTACACTATCACTCGACACCCACTATACAACCACTCGACACCCACCTACACAACCACTGGACACCCCACCTAGAGATCCACTCAATATCCACCTACACTATCACTCGACACCCACTATACAACCACTCGACACCCCACCTACACAACCACTGGACACCCCACCTAGAGATCCACTCAATATCCACCTACACTATCACTCGACACCACTACAAAACCACTCGACTCCCACCTACACAACCACTGGACACCCCACCTAGAGATCCACTCAATATCCACCTACACTATCACTCGACACCACTACAAAACCACTCGACTCCCACCTACACAACCATTGGACACCCCACCTACACAACCATTGGACACCCCACCTAGAGATCCACTCAATATCCACCTACACTATCACTCGACACCACTACAAAACCACTCGACTCCCACCTACACAAAAAAACATTACACTCGTCACATAAACCTGCCTTTTTAAAGCTCAATTATATTAACAAATCTTTGTATATGACCTCATGTCAAACATGAAGTAAAGAACATTAAACACACTGGTAAACATTTCAATAAAAACGAACACAAATCCTCCATCACAGCACGTTGGTGTTCTAATGTAGGAGTCTCGTTGTACAGTCGGCTTCGTTCTGGACCATTAATCGGTGATCCCGGGTTCGATTTCTATCCCGGGCGAGACAGTAATGCGTTTCAATTCACCTAATGCCTCTGTTCACCTAGCAGTAAATAGGTACCCGGGAGTTAGTCAACTGTTGCGAAGTTGCATCCTTTGAAAAGGTCAGTAGTTCGACCTTCGAGGGATCTCTAACGTATACACATACACTGGCGACCTGTCTCCCGGCAAAACGAATTATAAACTTCACCCGAAATTATTATTTTCACAAAGAACTTCGTAGTGGCTTCGAAGCTCATTGTGAAACGAAGGTAAACGAAGCCACCATGATTGAGGACAGATGTACCGGTTTCGCCAGCGGTGGAATCCTGACCCCCTTGTGTTTATCGCATATTATCTGATCAGGGTATTTGTGATTACGTGTTGAGTTGTTTTCTTCTTGTCAACAATATAATCCTTTATAATATGTTAAATACACCAGAATCCTCAGATTTATTAATGGTCTTTTCTTGTGGTTTTGATTCACAAATTAAGTAAAGGTTTAATGAATCCTACCTATCCTAGGGTATAGTTTAGGCATAACATAGATAGGTGCACAGAGAGGCCTTTCTCTCTGTGAGAGAGAGAGAGAGAGAGAGAGAGAGAGAGAGAGAGAGAGAGAGAGAGAGAGAGAGAGAGAGAGAGAGAGAGAGAGAGAAGAAAGTGTAACAAAGTCCCATCACCTTCACTCTTCTCACTAGATCACAACCGCTGACACTGTGTTGTTCAACAACACGGCCAAACCAGGCAACTGCTGACAGTAGTTAGGCAACCGTATCTCTGTGTCAACAGTACATCTTCCTCCCTCTTCAGGCTGTGTTTTAAGCCTTGCTACCACTTTTCTATCCCTTGCTACCACTTTGCCTGTAGTTGCTGTGTTGACTTAAACTCCTTTTGACTGTCTTCAGCACTGTTATCGTCGCTGGCGATTGCCCATTATCACAACTGCTCGTTCCGTTCTTCGTATCGGTCACTGAAGACGGAAACTATAAGGACTGTAAACAGAGCACTGAAGTCGAGGGTGCTCTCACAATCACTGACATCAAACTACAGTGATTGTGAGAGTGAGGGTGCTCTCACAATCACTGTCATCAAACTATAATGATTGTGAGAGTGAGGGTGCTCTCACAATCATCAAACTACAAGGGGGTCATCCTGCAGAGCGGTGTTCTGACGCGAGAGGATAGTCATAGGATGTCACAGGCTGCCCCTCCCCCACTCATTTTCCAAAACAGTTTACATGACACAAAGGCGGGAATGATGACAAAAATGGCGTCAAAACTTTATTGACCGCCATCTTGTCTGCCCAGAAAGAAAAAAAATTGAAAAAAATAGAAGCTGAATTGACCGCATTACAAAAATTGAGGTTTCCTAGCATAAATCAAATATTTATCTACGGTATCCCACATGAATTTTGAGTGTGCGTGTTTTTTTGTGTGTGTGTATGTGTGTGTGCCTTTCAAAGTGGGCTGAATAGTGTTATGTTGAACTGTGGAATTGAAACAGCACACTAATTCGTTTTATTAATTTTCAACTGAGCAGAAGTTAATTAGGATTTTTTAACTTTGTATCCAACTGACAAAGCAAACTTAATTCCAGTTCTGCTTCCAGTCAGCCGTCCTCTTTCCAGTTTCACATTTAGCTCTTTCCTGGAAAAAAGTAGACAAACTTTTAATATATTTTTTAAT